TGTTGGCCAAAGCTGCACTATTTTAATCAGAAGGAGTGAGTTCAATAGAGCTATGTACCCCTTGTTCTTTCTGTGCTTTCACATTCTTTGTGTGTGTGTGACATTAGGGATTCACTTTGCCATCGAGTTCCACTGAGCTACACCTTCAACCCTTTCATTTTTCTCCCCAAGTCTAGTGGCCTCACACTTGCGATCCTCCTACTTTGCATTATATTCTTTTTTTTTTTAATTTTATTTATTTATTTATTTATTTATTTATTTATTTATTTAGTGTGTGTGTGGCCTGCTCAGCCCACCAGGGGGCGGGACTGGCTGGCATGTGGTGCTGGGGACTGAACCGCGGTCCCTGTGCTTTGCTTAGCTTAGCTTGTTCTAAGTAGGTGCTTTAGACCACTGAGCCATCTCACCAGCCCCTTGCATTATATTCTTGACCATGCTTAAGAGAGTAGATTCTGAGTAGTCTCATCACACACACACAAAAGTATATATGTGAGGGAATGGGGTATAAATTAATTTCAGTGAGCCCTTCCTCCACACAGATGTAATTTTATTTGTTTGTTTGTTTGTTTAGTACAGGGTCTCACTACACAGCTTGGACTTGTAGTGATCTTCCTGTTTTCAGCCTCCCCAGCACTGGGATTACAGGTGTGCACCACCATGTCTGGTCTCTGTGGGTGGCTCAGCACACACAGGGGTGGGACTGGCACAGCATGTGGTGCCAGGGATCAAACCCTGGTCGTTGCACTTGCCTACGCAGGCACTTAGTCTGCTGAGCTACCTCCCCGGCCCTCAATCCATAAATTCTAAAAATAGGGGGGAAAAAGACAGAATTTGATTTAGCTTTGGGCTCTGGGGGAAAATCACCATAATGAGCAAGAAAATGTATCTTTTTTCCATAATTTTATTGATGAACAAATAGCGATGAGACAGTTTCAAACCAAATTGGTAGGACAGTTTCAATAATTAACACATTGCATACATTCTTCCTAGTGGTTATTTGCTGTACAAGATGGGGATATAAAGAAAATATATCTTTTTGAGTGTGATGCGGTTGGAGACTGTGCTCACTGCTGTGGCACAAAGGGTGTTTGTTTAAGGAGGAAATGCACCCAGGCTTGAGCTGTGGCATTCTGCAGGGAGAGATGTTTTAAGGAAAATGTGTGGTAAAGGTTGCTTGCAAGGGAAGGGGAGGATTGGACCTTAGTGGAAGGCATCCTCCAAGGAAGTGAACTTGCTGGCTGTGGGACACCCACCCATCCTGCCACCTTGAAACAAAGGAGTGAAGCCTACTCGGGCACTGACCATCTACCCAGGGGCACCTTCCACTGTGCTAAGATGAAGCCATTCCAGGACAGAGGCTGTTAGGCACCAGGAAGTAGCTGCGCCTGGTTTAAGATCTGCAGTAGATGCATGGCTTTGTGGGCAGCTTTGAATTTCCTTTTTGGGTCATCTCAGCACTGCTTGGTGATTTTCTCATTGATCAGTGACTTGTGTGTTGGAAGTGATAGAAACTGACCTCCAGGGCCAGGGAGATAGCTCAGTAGAATAAGTGCTTGCCTGGCCAGCACAAGGTCCTGAGTTCAATCCCCAGTACAGAAAGAAAGAAAGAAAGAAAGAAAGAAAGAAAGAAAGAAAGAAACTGAACTCCAGTCTACTCCACCAAGAGGGAATTTATCAGCTCTTGGAACTGCAAAGTCTAGAAACATCGATGGCTTCGGATGTGGCTTGACCCAGGGACATTGTTGTCAGCTTTCTTTCTCCTTCTCTCTTAAAATGTTCAAAGTAAATGAGACAGATTCATCATTGGATGAAGTCATTAGATGAAAAGTTCATGAAGAGACTCACAGTGGAGGGAATCTCACTGTCACCACCCAAGCCCCCTTACTAACTGTAGTGTTCAACTACAAAGGGGCCAGACAGACAGACATGGAGAGGGCCGCATGAAGTACTCCTGTGAAGTGTCCCATGGGAACCCTTAAGCCCTGACTGTCTCCAAAGCAGCCCTAATGTGAGGTTCCAAGTGCATATATTTGGGGCTATTTTCCCAAAATAGAAAGCACTGCTAAGGGACAGAGAGAGAGAGAGAGAGAGAGAGAGAGAGAGAGAGAGAGAGAGAGAGAGAGGAAGGTAATTGGTAAATCGTGAGCTATCAAGAAAGTTACTACAGTGGGCAAGGTGAGCTCAGTCCAGCTCAGGAACTCTGACAACCAGTGTAAACCATGCCTCGGAATGAGCTACAACCAGAGGCTGGGTGGTGGAGCATTTATACAGTGGTTCCCACTGACCAGGGAACCCTGGTACTTGAGAAAGCCACACAGACCAATGAAATGCAGGCCCTGTGGCTTCTAGCAGGCTCCCTGGGGTTCACCAGAGTGGCACAGGTAGGTATGGGTGAGGCCACACCCACCACACATTTCCAGAGCTTCCTGCTACTCACTGGAAACACAGGGAGGGAGAAACAAGCTGAACAACACCTAAGGTCACTATCAGATGCTCAAGGGGTCAGTTCTCCAAGGTGACCCACATGTCCCTTAACATGTACACATCTAACAATAGAGGGTTAAACTATGTGAGGTCAAAATTGGTATAAATAACTGGAAAAGCAGACAAGCCTGCTGTTCTACTCGGACACAGCCACAGGCCTCTATCAGGGATGGATGGATTCACCAGGCAGATCAATAAGGACATGGTGACCCTTGGTGACTCCCTCCAATCAACTGGGTATAATTGACACCTGCAGGTGACTTCGCCTGACAACAGAATTTCTCCAGCTCTCCCAGGACGTTCACCAAGCCAGGCTCCATTCTGGGCACTAAAACACATCTCAGCACATTTAAAGGGCTGAAAACAAGGGCTGGGGAGATGGCTCAGTGGAACAAGTGCTTTTCTGACATGCACAAGAGACTGAGTTCAATCCCTGGTTCTGCCAAAAAAAAAAAAAATTAAATAATAAATAAAGGGCTGAAAACCATACACCACATGCTTCAGACCACCACGAGATAAAAGCAGAAATCTATACTAAATAGTTGGAAAATTTCAAAATAATTGGAGATTAAACAAGATGCCTTATAATAGTACTTGAATCAAAAAAATCTCAAGAGAAATATAAAAAATATTTTCACCAAAGGAAAAGGAAAATATGACATTGCCAGTTAAACAGAAGACCCAATGCTATTATGGGCTACTGGACTCTTTTAGAATATTTTGCTGAGTTTACACACCTATAATATTCAATAACGGAACTTAGAAAAAATGGGGTATACCGATGAATGTCCATTTTGTATTTGTGTATTCCAAGTGGTTAGGATAGATATATAGTTGCATTCTCTTAATGAATAGAATGATTTGTTCTAATGGTGTTTGTAAATAGGATCACAAGTCCACTTCTTGTACAGCAATTAACCACTAAGAAGAATATATGCAGTGTATTATTTGTTGAAACTGTACTTCTGATTAGATTTGAAACTGTCTCATAGCTATCTGTTTATCAATAAAACTTTGAAAAAAAATAAAAAATATATATAAAAAAAAAGGAAAAGGAAAATATAACTGAGTGAAATTCGGAGGACACAGGGAAACCGGAGCTCAGAGGAAAATTGGTATTGAACATGTGTATCAGGGAAGAAGAAGATGTAAACTCAATGCCCTAAGCTCCCACCTTAGGAAACTAGAAAAGCAGGAGTTAAATGAATCCACAGAAGCAGGAAAAAGAAAAGAGAATGAGAAAATAATGAAAACAGGAAGTCCATAAAGAAAATGAGGAAAAAATAAATAAATAAAATTTTTAAAAAAATTTAAAAAAAAAAGAAAACAAAATGAAGACCAGTGAGATAGGTCAGCAGATTAGCGTGCCTGCTTAGGCAAGCTTAGCCAAGCACAGAGACATCAGTTTGATCCGCAGTGGCTCATGCCGTGCCAGCCCTGCCCCCAAGGTAGACTGAGCTGGACACAAAAATCAATCAATCAAGCAAGCAAGCAAGCAAGCTAGACCAACATCGCAAGAAGCAGAGGGGACATTCAGAGTCCAGGGCATTGAGGATGACTTTCTTGCGAGAAGTCAGTAGCCAGAGAGAGCAAGGAAGTTTTAGATGAAAAGATGCATAGGAGTGGCAGCACTAAGAGGAACATGCACTGCAAACCCTCATTAGAACAACTCCGCTGAGAACTCTTGGGCAATCAGGAAAATTTGATTCTAAACTTAGCATTAGATCATTGCAGAGTGACAGCGACAGCATGGAAGGTAAATGGTTGCTGGGCTGAAATAGCACCATGGGTGAGATTTCTTTTAAAAGTCTTCAGCAATTATTTTATTTTGGCTTTCTTTGGTTTGTTTTGGTTATGTATGGTCTTGGGGATCAAACCTCGAGCCTTCTGGATGCCTACCAGAGCACTGGTAGGCAAGTGCTCTACCACTGAGCTACATCCCTATCTTTTCTCATGTTTTGAGACAGGTTCTTCCAACATTTCCAAGACAGCCCTCAAACTTGGAATCCTCTTGCCTCAGCCTCCCAAGCAGCTGGAATTAGAGGCATGCACTACTATGCCCAACCCTAAACAATGATTTTAAATAAAAACAGGCTGGGGATGGTGGCACACACCCATAATCTCAGCGTTCAGGAGACTGAGGCAGGAACGAAGCTACAAGTTCAAGGTCAGCTTGGGCTACCTAGTGAGTTCAAGACCAGCCTGAACTACCCTGTCTCAAAAAGCCAAACAAATAAAGCCCAGATTTAACACTACTTTTGATTTTACAAAAATATTGCAATAAAATGCTTTTTTAAAGAATAATTTTATTGAGAAACAAATAGCAATGAGACACTTTCAAGACTGATTACTAGGGGCAGGTCTGTGGAGCGGGCTGGCCGCCTCGCCGCAGGTACCGCGTTATTCCTTTACATGAGGCGGAACACAAGTCCACTGGCATGACCCGGCGCCCCTGCAGCTGTGTCGCACGGTCACCTTCCTGCTTCTGCAGCTTCAGCCCAGTGACAGCCGCCGGGCATCCTCGCCCCTCCGACAGCTATAAAGAAGAAAGAGCCACTCTTTATGTCAAAATGAAGTGTGAAGTTAATTGTAACCATGTTCATCCTGAAATTAAGCTGGTAAAACCTGATGACAGTGAAAGACAAGGTTTCTACAGTCTCGCCTATTTGGAAGGTTGTAAAAACTGCATTAAAGGCTATGAAAAATTACCATATCTTAGGTCACCAATCGTGAGCCCTCAGATTGCAGAATTTGAAACAAAAAGCAAGCCCTTGCATAACAAGGAAAATCAACGTGTTGAGCAAACACTTACTAGTTCAGATGAAATAGAAGAACTAGAGACTAGTAGGCTTTATGAAGACAGTGGCTATTCCTCATTTACTCAACAAAGTGGCCTCAGTGAACATGAACAGGACAGCCTCACTCTGGAAGAAAATTTCAGAAGCAGTCCACAGCCCTACCAGCTAGAGACACCAAGCCCAGACACCTATCCCAACAAGAATTTATTACCAGTTCTTCATTTTGAAAAAGTGGTTTGCTCAACATTAAAAAAGAATGCTAAGCGAAATCCTAAACTAGATCGAGAGATACTGAAGGAAATTATATCCAGTGGAAATTTTAGACTACAGAATATAATTGGCAGGAAAATGGGCCTGGAATTTGTAGATATTCTCAGTGAACTCTTTCGAAGGGAACTCATCTTAGCAAACATCTCTTAGCAAATATTTTGGCACAGCTTAGTGACATGGACTTAATCAATGTGTCTAAAGTGAGCACTACTTGGAAGAAGATTCTAGAAAATGATAAAGGGGCATCCCACTTGTACAAAAAAGCAATGGAAAGAGTTACTGAAAAGAGCATTAAGTTTTCACCACATGCTTCAACCAGAGAGTATGTTACGATCAGAACTGCGTTAGCTTCTGTTCAGAAATCAGCATCGCAGCCGCTTCCCAAGAAAGATGCTCAAGCCAAGTTATCCAAGCAGGATGACCGGAAAAGTTCTGCTTATAGTCGACACAGTGAATTCTCTGAGGT